TGGATGAACCCTGAAAACATCATAGTAAGGGTAAGCCAGACACAAAAGTCCACGTATGGTATGATTTCATTAATTTGAAATATTGAAACAAGCAAATCCACAGATAGAAAGCCAATTAGTGGTTGCCAAACACTGGGGGGGGGTTGTAAATGGGGAGCTACTGCAAATGCATACAAAGTTTCCTTTCGGGGTGATGAAAATGTTCTGGAATTAGATAGTGATGATGGTGGCAAAACACTGTAAATACACTAAAAACTGCTGAATTGTACATTTTACAGGGTGAATTTTATGGTACGTGAATTGTACCTCAATAAAAAACAAATTTTTAATTTGAACGGAAAAGGATTGAAAAAAATATACCAGTCAAATGTTAACCAAAAAAAGTTATAGTTGCTATGTTAATATCAGACCAAGTAGACTAGAAGGGAAAATCATTGCTAGTATTAATGTATATCACTATATTTTGATCAAATATTCAACTTACCTAAAATACATACCAATTCTAAACTCATATATACTGAATAACATAACTTATAAATACATAAAGCAATAATTGAAAGAACTACAAGGAGAAACTGGCAAAAAGCAGTTGAGCCTCTACTCAGGGCATCATGTGAGGAAAGACTTGGCTCCCTGGGGTGAGGGAAACTATGGAAATCTCCATGGGGTGTGAGGGAGGAGCTCTGGAGAGATGGGCATGAGCTTTTGTTTTTTCAAAGACCAGCATGATAGTAAGCCTGGGCTTTTTCTATTTCTCAAAAGGGGGCAGATAATAGGGTTGAAAAATACTGAAAACTTCTCTTAAAGCAAAAATCAGATCCTGTCACTTGTTCTGTTTAAAACGTCAGTGGCTCCCAGTGCCCTCTTGAGAAAGTTCACTTTCCAGGCTGATCTCTACCCACCTCCTCTCACAACCTCCCTCAACCAGACGGGATTCTTTGTTATTTCTGAAACATTCCATACTTCTTATCTTGCCCACCTCGTGTTGGGCTGGTGATAGGGATCCCTGAATGAAGCTGGGGTGGGGTGGAGAACATGGTCACCACATGCCCAGACAGTGCCTGGCAGGAAGAAACATGTGGCTTATAGTGCCAACTCGGCCACCACCTGGCCAGGGGGCCTGACTTGGTCACTTCATCTCTTCAACAGACCTGCTGCTCTCCTGGGTTCCCTGGCAGCATCCTCAACTCCCTCACAACTCCCCCCCTCCCACTCCCATTGACTCCATGACCAAGCTCCATCCTTCCAGTAGCCCCACGTCTCTTGCCTTGTCCTATACATGGTTCAGGCTTGTCTCCCAGCCACCAGCCCTGCCCTGCCCCACTTCCAGGCCGTTGCTCACACCAAACTCCAAAGGGATCTTTGTAGGGCCCAGCTCCCATGCCCCATTTCCACCACTGTGAAAAGACCTCCCTGGTTCCCACTTAACAGGACATAAAATTGAGGCACAGAGGACCTTAAAGGCAACACAAGCCAGGTGGCATGGTGGCTCACAGCTGTAGTCCTAGCTACTCGGGAGGTTGAGAATCACTTGAACCCAGGAGTTCTGGGCTGTAGTGTGCTATGTCCATCAGGTGTCCATACTAAGTTCAGCATCAATATTCTGGGAGCAGAGGACCACTAGGTTGCCTATGGAGGGGTGAACCACCCCAGGTCGGAAACAGCGTAGGTCAAAACTCGTGTGCTGATCAGTAGTAGGATCACACTTGTGAAGTGAATAGCCACTGCACTCCATCCTGGGCAACATAGTGAGACTCCATCTCATAAAAAAAATTAAAAAATAAAAAAATTTTTTTAAAAAAGGCAACACAAACCATGTGCAAGACCCAAACTCAAATCCAGCGTGGAGTCCCCCAGCCCAGGGTTCTCTTTCCTTCAGACACACAGAGTTTGCATTCACAAAGAGAAGTGGGGAACAAATGCCGCCTTGTTTTCTTCAATTCCCCACACAATTATGTCCCAAGCAAGACCTCGCTTGCATGGATGCAAGCAAGAGGATGCAGTGGGAGAGCGTGGGTTCAAATCTTCACTCTGCCACAAGTTGTGTAACTTTGGCTCACTTAGCCTCTCTATGCCTCAGTTTCTCCATATGTGAAGTGGGGATGATGACCATGATAGCAGCTATCTCACAGGTGAGGTTCAAGTTAATACATAGGAAGCTTTTGAATAAAGAGTCATTACTAGCTTTTTTTTTTTCTTTTTTTTTTTTTTTTTTTTTTTGTAGAGACAGGTTCTCTCCATCTTACCCAGGCTAGTCTCAAACTCCTGGGATCGAGGGATCAGTGTTCTTTTTATTACAAGGAATAAACCTTCCAGAACTACTAGATACAATGCTAGACACATATTTGCAAAGAGAAGGGTGAAAAGTAAGTCTACTTTCATACCCCTCAGGCAACTCGAACTCACCACATCCAGAATCAATCTCATCACTCCTCCCCCAAAGTGATGCCCATTGAACTCTTCTTGATGAATGTTCTGCTGCCAGAACCATGACCTATCTGGATCCTCTCGCTTCATTCCCTACCTGCAACCCATCACCAAGACCTGTCCACGTGACTCACAAAGAGCTCCTAGGACCACCTCCGTGTCTCCCTGTCCCTAGGGTGGACCCACAGGTTGAGCTTCCCTTGAAACTCTGCTACCTACAGGTTTGCTTCAAGATGGAGCACGTGACCCACCCCGTGTGACCCAGAACAGCAGAGACAGCTTCCTTTTGTGATGCCCACCAGGGTTCCCCTGACCCTCGATTCTGGTCTGGTTCCAGACACTCCAATTCCCAGCAGCCAGCCCCAGCTCAGCACCTAACCCACACTGGACAAGAATGCTCTCTGGCTAAAAACCCCTTCGATGGCTCCCCACTGCTCCTAGACTACAGCTCCAGCTCCTTCCCCTGCCAGGATTGGTCTGGCCCATTCCTCTTGCTGCCAGCCTCAGCAACGGCCCTGAGCCTGAGAAGCCCTCACAGGATCCAGCGCAGCTCCCTTGCCATCACTTTACACACACACCACTTTTGCCTTTGGCTAAACCAGTCCTTTCTCTCTCCTTGGCTGCCATCCCACTGCCTAAGGGACCCAAATTGCCTTCCTCATATGGGGTCTTGGAGGGATGAAGGAGGGGTGCCACCTCTGCTTGACCTGGGGGTTCCCCCTCTCACCCCTATCACAGATGGGCAGGACCTCTCCCCCAAGGTTGGACTTCCCCAGGGCAGGATTTGCAGGGTGTGGGGTGGGGGCGGTGGCAAAGAGGAACGGGTTTGAGAGGCTGCCCAGGTGCTGAAGGAACTAGGGGAGGCTAATGGACGTCTAAAGATGGGGCCGTGGCTCCCCCTGCTGACGGGAGGCCATATTGCACCCTGTGTCAAGGCAGCCCAGAGCTGGCTTGAGCTCCAAGCGGAGGCGATCTGGCCAAGTGCCTGGACTGGAAGAGCTGGCTGTTCCTGAGCAAGTGCCGGTTTCTTCTGGAAGGCTGGCTCTGGCACTCCTGCTCACGGCTCCCAGACCCACAAAGATCATTTTTATCATCCCCGTAAAACCACCCCTAAAATAGAGGGTGTCCTCCTGGGGGGCAGGCACCTATTCAGCGCCCAGCACCTGACACAGAGTAGAGGCTCAGTCAACATCTGACCAAAACAAGAGCAAGTAGGTATCATGGGAGTCCAGTGTGAACAACGGAGAAGATGGGAAGGGGGACCCGCAGCAGGGGTGCCCGCAGGCAACAAGGCCCCGGGTAGGGGTGAGGGCAAGTGGGACAGGTCTTGGAGGTGAGGAGGCCATGGTACTGGCTGACTGAGGTCCCCTGTGCGGCCCAGAGTCTGGAGCGAAGGATGGCCTGGGAGTGGCTGTGGGGATGGAGGAGGAGGCTGCCCACCCACCTCCAGCCTGTTCTCCCTGGTGGAAGCCAGGTCCCCTGGCTCCAACCCTGAACCCCACTCCAGCCTTCACCCACAAGGCCCAGGGCAGCCTTGGTTTGACCCTCACCGCCTCCCTTTGGGGCCCAAAGTTCAACAGGGAGGGTAATCTTCTCTACCATTCTCGCCAGTCAAGCCGTGGGTCATCAGGCTACACTCTGGGGGCTGGCAGGGAGCAAGGGTCTCAGAAGGTAGGGAGGGGTGGCCAGCTTGCCTGGAACCCTGGCTGGGGCCAAGGAGTGGCTCTAGAGGTCTTCCCCTGATGGGCCCAAGAGAAAGGGCTAGAGGGGCCAGCAGAGGTTTGGGACCCAGCAAGGCAGGGCTCTGGAGCCCTGGCCGCTCCAGAATGGAGGTTGGTGGGCCTGGGGCCACTCAGACCAGAGGACAGGCCACGGCTCTTCACTTCAGAAGCCACTGCCAAGCTGCCACTGCTCCCAGAGTCCCAGCTTCCAGCCCAGGTCTACCCCAGCCTGGAACCTGAGGGTTCCAAAGCCCCCCACACAGCAGAGGGGAAGAGGGCCCCGTGTGGCCCTCTCCTGGACAAGGAGCTCCTCTCACCCCCTGACCCTGGGGTTCCCTATTCTTCTGCTTGGCAAGATGGCCTCTGGCCATCAAGAAAGGGAAGGGAGGGAGGGATGGAAGGTGACAGTTCTGGGCTCTGGTCGCCCTCCATGCACCTGTGAGCCCTTCCCAGTCCCAGGCACCTGGCTGAGGCACTCCAGGCCCGGCCCTGCAGGGCAGGGGCACTGCAGCCCATCCCTGGGGGTCTGGAGCCACACTCAGCCTCCTGCCAGCGCCCCCTGCTGGCAGCCCAGCAGGCGTGTGCTGCCTCCACTTTGTCCCAGGACCCCAAGGCTGGGCAGTTACACCTCTGGGGTGGCAGAGCTGCCTGGCCACGCTGTCACTTGTTGGTGCTTTGGGGAGAGGGGACAGGAAGTTTTTGGACAGTTGGAAACTTGTCTGCCACGATGAGAGGGAGCAGAGGTTCAGGTGGCAGTGGGTAAAGCCGTGTGGCAGGGTCTCATTGGTTTCCTTCCCACAAGTGACCAGGTCCCCTCCACACTCGCCGCACCCCCAGTTCACCACTGGCCCATTGCTGTATCTTTCTTTATTGGTTTGGGGAAAACTGGAGGGGGCTGGAAGGCCATGACCATGACACAAGCAGGACCACCCACACTCAGCGAAGCACAGAACAGCCGTGCAGGAAAGACAGCCCCTGAGGCCCGCCTGCCAGCACCTCCTCGGCTTTTGGTGGGGTGGGGGGCAGGGGCGGGAGAGGCAACAGGGGAGGGGATCCACTGCCCCCAGGCAGGGCAGAGCCTGGGGACAGACTTGGGGGTGCTCCATTCCAACCCCAGCACCATGCGCCACACCCTCGAATCTCAAACTCCAGCAGAGGCCAGCCCCAGGGGTGAAGGGTTGGGGGAGGGGACCAAAAGCATCCAAGGGAAGGAAATCTGGGGGTCAGTCCACTTGGCCTTGGCATCTGCCTGAGAGCGAGAAGCAGAGGGAAAGGGGGTAGTTAGGAGCCGACCTGCCAGCCCTGTGCCCCCACCCCCACCTCGGTCAAATCCTGGATTTCTTAGAGGCCCTCTCCCCCTCCACTCCCTTGCCCAATCTCGGGCACCCACAGGCCTCCCTGTCCTTCCACCTCTCCTGGGGCCCTGACTCCTCCCTCTGCCCTCTGCCCTCTGCCCTCAGCCCTCTGGCCTGTGGGGGCCACCCCACTTAGCTCTTGGCCACATGGAGTGCCACCACCCTCTAAGCTCTTCAAACACACCTGGGGATCACCACTTGGGGGGCTGGCCAGTATGGAGGCCTGAGTGGCTGTGGCGGGCCAGGCCCTGCTCAGAGGCCCCCTCGGCCTCTGGGCTCTGCCCCAGCTTCCGGATGTGGCGCAGGAATGAGGTGGCATTGAAGGCTCGCTGCCAGAAGAGAGGGAGATCAGGCCAGGCCTGGGCCAGGCCCCAGCCCCAAGACTGTGAGGACCACAGTGGCCACTGGGCAGTCACAGTGATCAGGCTACAGCTGGGATGCAGCGGGTGACCACACTGGGTCTGTCTCCACACTGACCTTCCAGTGCATCCGAGCAAAGTTCTTCTGGATCTGCTCACTGACAGAGCCTAAGATGTCCCTGTCGAAGGCTGTGTCCCCAGAGATCCTGGGGAAAGGCTGAAGGTCGGGGGGGGCCTCTCTGCAGGTGCAGTCCCCCTGGCCCTGGGGCAGCTCGGCAGGGCTCCCACTCACCAAAGATGCTGCAAGGCCTGTTGGCAGGTGAACCTCTTCTGGGGGTCTCGCTCCAGAAGGTGCCGGATGAAGTCTTTGGCTGGAGCAGGGAGGCTGGGTCAGCCCATCGGGTCCCCACTCCCTTGCATCCCCCCCAAGCACGGGCCAGCCTGAAGCTCACCTGATTCTGAGATGTCATCCCAGAAAGGAGAGTCAAACTCATAGCTGGCCCTCAGGATCTGGTTGAAGAGTTCAGGGTCGCTCTCGTCGTAGAAGGGGGGATACCCACACAGCCTGGCACCCACAGATGAATCACCCAGCTGTCCCACCCTCCCCAACCCAGCAGGGGCAGGCAGGCAGGAGACAAGCCTTCCCAGCAGTAACTCACAGGATGTAGGAGATGACGCCCAGTGCCCACACATCTACGGCCTTCCCGTAGGGTTTCTGCTCCAAGAGCTCTGGGGCTGGGGGCCAGAGACAGACAGACGCACGCACAGGCACACACGCAGCCATGCCGCTCAGTGTCGCTGGCTCAGCCTACTCAAGCCCAGGAATGGCCCACACAAAGGCAACGGGCACAACAGCCTTCCCGGCTATCTAGGGTCCCCCAGGCCACCCCACTCCCAGCAAGCCTCAGGGTGCCGTCCCTCACCCACATATCCGGGGGTCCCACAGGCGGTGCCTAGCATGTTGCCAGCCTGGATTTTGGAGAGTCCAAAGTCAGAGACCATGATCTTTGAGTCCTCAAAGGGCGTGGCATACAGGAGGTTTTCGGGCTGTGACACACGGACACCGGGAAAAGGGCCAGGTCAGTCCTGATGCGGTGCCGGTGCTGGGACAGGATGAGGACTACACACTCTCAGGTTCCCCAGAGCCTTGGTGGAGTGGGAGATCAAGAAAGGCCCCAGCCGTGCTCCCGGGAAAACAAAGGCAGGGCCAGGTGGGCAAGTGGGAGGGTGGGGCGCAGAGGCCCCAGCCAGGCACCTTGAGGTCCCGGTGCACGATCCCCAGGCTGTGCAGGTAGGAGACGGCGCCGAGGACCTGACCCACCAGATGGCTGGCATCCTTCTCTGTGTAGGAGCCGCGCTCCATGATGCGATCAAACAGCTCGCCACCCGTCACCCTGGGGGTGCCAGGGGTTTGGCTGACCCAGGCACTCAGCCTGGCCTTCAGCCCCACTCACTGCTCAGCCCCTCCCCGGCTCCCACAGCCTGCCCAGGCCCTCCTCACAGTTCCATGGCCAGGTAGAGGTGGGAAGGGCTCTCGTGGACATCCTCCAGAGCAACAATGTTGGGGTGGCTGATCCTGCAACGGCAAGGAAGCACCTGTGGGCCAACAGAGTCAAGGGGTGCTCTGTCCTGAGGCCCCGGGAAAAGCCTCCTCCCTCTTCTCCTCCTCCCACCTCTGTTCCCCATTCCCTACCACATGCCACCCCTGCCCGGTCCAGGAAGGCGGAGCTCCAGCCTGAGCCCTGGCCTTCCTTCTAAAGCCCATTTGAAAAGCACAGATCAATATCCACTAGCTCCCTGTGGCTGCCACAGGGACCTGCAGGCCCAGAGAGGGCACTGCCCCAGGCTTCCCAAAGGTTGGTGGCCAGGCCTAGACTAGAACCAGGGACTCCTTGCACCCCTCATCGACCTATGCCACAACCCAGGGCCCCCTGAGGTGCGCACCTACGGAGCACTGCGATCTCGTTCTCCACCAGGGCCTCCTTGCCCCGGAGGGCCTTCTTGGGGATGCACTTGAGGGCCACGAGGTGTGCGGAGCCCCGCTCCTGGGCCAGCACCACCTCGGAGAAGGCACCCCTGCCGCAGACACGAGCGGTGGGAGGTGGGAAGGAAGTGGGAAGAGAAAAGAGGCAGGAGGGAGAGAGAGGGGAGCGGGGAGGGCCCCCTGTGAAGAAGATGGGGAGGCCCTACCTGGCCCTGTGCCACCCCCCACGAAACTCAACACATGCCATCTCACAGACTCACTCACATTCACACACCCTTATATATTCACACACACATCATCTCACACCCACTCGCGTAGTCACACACACATGCCATCTCACACACGTACACACACACACACACGATCACACGCGCGCACACTCACGAGCCGAGCCTCTCGCGGATCTCATAGACGCTGCTGATGTCCTCCGTGTGTTTCTTCAGCAGCAGCATGTCTGCAGGGGCAGGGGAGAGGTGATGGGGGTCTCTCCTCCCTCCCCCGCACCGGAGGCGAGGGCAGCTTCCTCCTCCACCCCTGTCAGGCAGGCCTCAGCCGTTGCCGCTGCGCTCGACCCTCCCCTCCCCCGTCCAGGTCCACACCCCCAGACGGACGCCTTGCAGCGAGGCCACCGCAAACGCGCCTCCACATCCCAGGCCTACAGCTGCCATCCCACGCCCCCACACCCTGCACCCCGACAGCGACCAGCGCCTGGATGCTGCCTCTCTGCCTCCACACATCCGGCTGCTTTCCAGAAGGCTCCATGCTCACCCACGCCGGTCCCTCCCCCATCCACACATCCACAGAGCCCACGTCCCCACCCCCGCGTAGACCCGCCACCCATGGCACAGCGCCCACAGGCACCCGCTGCCCAAGCCACCA